TCTATGTGTGACACAAAATTGGTGTAATTGTGAGCTGGTGTAAGCCAGATTGTTATCAGTTTTAATTTTTGTGGGCAAAAATTAAATGCAAAGATTTAGAGAAGATACTTAATGGCATATCAGGCAGACTCTCCAGGAATAGCATGACCACTAATTAGGTGGGAATTGGTATCAACAGATACACGTACATATCTTAGTTTTCCAAATTCAGGGAAGTGTGTAACATCTATTTGCCATGACTGATTAGGTTCTAGTCCTAGGGTTAACATCTGTTGAAGGAGGGGACGTGCCTTTGAGGTGGCAATCTGGGCATTACAGGATAATTTGTTTAGCTAGTCTTTGGGTGAGTTGAAATTGTTCAGTTTTCCCAATTTTGGTGGAAAAATGGATGTGATTGGGTGGCTTGGTCAAGCAGTGATGTCATAACCTGCAGGTGTGCTTGATCATTGCCATGAACTAGTAGTCTGGGCAGCGAGCTGTGGGCCCTAATGTGTGTAACAAAAATAGGATGTTTGTTGATCCAGCGATCGCTGAAGTTGAAGAAAAAGGGCACATGGGGTGCGCTCAAAAGTAAACTTAATGAGGGTTGTTTCAAGGTTTTGCAATGACTAAACAGAGTAAGCAGAGTCACTAATAACATTGATGGGCTGAGCGGAAAAGGCTTCCAGGGCCAACATTAGGGCTCCAACCTCAGCTTTCTGAGTACTAGTAAATCCAGATCGAGTGAGGGAGTAATGTGCTTCCCACCAGATAGCTGCTTTTCCATTTTTACCAGAGCCATCAGCAAAAAGCGTTAAAGCGATAGGTATGGGGGAGGAGACTACCTTAGTAGGCATAACTACAGGAGTATGAGATAAGAACTGGAGTAGTTTGTCAGTGGGAAGGGCATGTTCATCAGAGAGTGCTATCTGAAGGTCTAGAGATATGGGCAGGACTGCTTCGAATTGTTTTTTACTTAAGGGTATTCTTTTTTTTTTATTTTACTTTAAGTTTTGTGGTACATGTGCAGAATGTGCAGGTTTGTTACATGGGTATACACGTACCTTGGTGGTTTTCTGCATCCATCCCCCCATTATCCACATTAGGTATTTCTCCTAATGTTATCCCTCCCCAATTCCCCCACCCCTGCTATCCCTCCACTAGCCCCTCCCCCACCCCCGACAGGCCCCAGTGTGTGATGTTTCCCTCCCTGTGTCCATGTGTTCTTATTGTTCAACAACCACTTATAAGTGAAAACATGTGGTGTTTGGTTTTCTGTTCTTGTGTCAGTTTGCTGAGAATGATGGTTTCCAGTTTCATCCATGTCCCTGCAAAGGACATGAATTCATCTTCATCCTTTTTATGGCTGTATAGTATTCCATGGCATATATGTGCCACATTTTCCTTATTCAGTTTATGTTTAATAGGCATTTGGGTTGGTTCCAAGTCTTTGTTATTGTAAACAGTGCTGCAATGAACATACATGTGCATGTGTCTTTATAACAGAACGTTTTATAATCCTTTGCACGTATACCCAATAATGGGATTGCTGGGTCAAATGGTATTTCTATTTCTAGATCCTTGAGGAATTGCCATACTGTATTCTGCAATGGTTGAACTAATTTACACTTCCACCAACAGTGTAAAAGCATTCCTATTTCTCCACATCCTCTCCAGCATCTGTTGTCTCCTGATTTTTAATGATCACCATTCTAACTGGCGTGAGATGGTATCTCAATGTGGTTTTGATTTGGATTTCTCTAATGACCAGTGATGATGAGCTTTTTTCCTTTTTCTTTTCTTTTTTTTTTTTTGAGACGTTCTTGTCACCCAGGCTGGAGTGCAATGGCGTGATCTCAGCTCACCGCAACCTCCGCCTCCTGGGTTCAGGCAATTCTCCTGCCTCAGCCTCCTGAGTAGCTGGGATTACAGGCGCACACCACCATGGCCAGCTAATTTTTTGTATTTTTAGTAGAGATGGTTTCACCATGTTGACCAGGATGGTCTCGATCTCTTGACCTCGTGATCCACCTGCCTCGGCCTCCCAAAGTGCTGGGATTATAGGTGTGAGCCACCGCACCCAGCCCGATGAGCTTTTTTTCTTCTTGAGATGGAGTTTCGCTATTGTTACCCAGGCTGGAGTGCAATGGCTCGATCTCCACTCATCACAACCTCCGCCTCCTGGGTTCAAGCAATTCTCCTGCCTCAGCCTCCCGAGTAGCTGGGACTACAGGCATGCACCACCATGCCCAGCTAAGTTTTGTATTTTTAGTAGAGATGGGGTTTCACCTTGTTGACCAGGATGGTCTCTATCTCTTGACCTCATGATCCACCTGTCTTGGCCTCCCAAAGTGCTGGGATTATAGGCGTGAGCAACCACGCCCAGCCAATGAGCTTTTTTTCATGTTTGTTGGCTGCATAAATGTCTTCATTTGCAAAGTGTCTGTTCATATTCTTTGCCCACTTTTTGATTTTTTTACTTGTATATTTATTTATTTATTTATTTTCTGTTAATCAATGAGAGCTTGTTATGTTGCTCAGGTTGGCCTTGAACTCACAGGCTCGCCTCCTCAAGTGCCAGGACAACTGGCTGGAGCCACTGAGGCCCCCTTCTTGTAAATTTAAGTTCTTCATAGATTCTGGTTATTAGCCCTTTGTCAGATTGGTAGATCGCAAAAATTTTTTCCCATTCTGTTGGTTGCTGGTTCACTCTAATGATAGTTTCTTTTGCTGTGCAGAAGATCTGAAGTTTAATTAGATCCCATTTGTCCATTTTGGCTTTTGTTGCCATTGCTTTTGGTGTTTTAGTCATGAAGTCCTTGCCTATGCCTATGTCCTAAATGGCACTGCCTAGGTTTTCTTCTAGGATTTTTATGATGTTATGTCTTATGTTTAAATCTTTAATCTATCTAGAGTTAATTTTTGTATAAGGTATAAGAAAGAGATCCAGTTTCAGCTTTCTGCATATGGCTAGCCAGTTTTCACAACACCATTTATTAAATAGGAAATCCTTTCCCCATTGCTTGTTTTTGTCAGGTTTTTCAAAGATCAGATGGTTGTTGATGTGTGACATTACTTCTGAGGCCTCTATTCTGTTCTATTGGTCTATATCTCTGATTTGGTACCAGTACCATGCTGTTTTGATTACTGTAGTCTTATAGTACAGTTTGAAGTCAGGTGCATGCGTGATGCCTCCAGCTTTTTTTTTTTTTTCTTAGGATTTTCTTGGCTATGCAGGCTCTCTTTTGGTTCCATATGAAGTTTGAGGTGGTTTTTTTCCAATTCTGTGAAGAAAGTCAATGGCAGCTTGATGGGGATAGCATTGGATCTATAAATTACTTTGGGCAGTATGGCCATTTTCATGATATTGATTCTTCCTAACCATGAGCATGGAATGTTTTTCCATCTGTTTGTGCCCTCTCTTATTTCCTTGAGCTGTGGTTTGTAGTTCTCCATAAAGAGGTCCTTCACATCCCTTTTTATTTGTATTCCTAAGTATTTTATTCTCTTTGTAGCAATTGTGAATAGGAGTTCACTCATGATTTGGCTCTCTGTCTGTTATTGGTGTATAGGAATGCTTGTGATTTTTGCACATTCATTTTGTACCCTGAGACTTTGTTGAAGTTGTTTATCAGCTTAAGGAGATTTGGGGCTGAGACGATGGGGTCTTCTAAATATACAATCATGTCATCTGCAAATAGAGACAGTTTGACTTCCTCTTTTCCTAACTGAATATCCTGTATTTCTTTTTCTTGCCTGTTGCCTGGCCAGAATTTCCAATACTATGTTCAATAGGAGTGGTGAGAGAGGGCATCTTGTGCCAGTTTTCAAAGGGAATGCTTCCAGTTTTTGCCCATTCAGTATGGTATTGGCTGTGAGTTTGTCATAAATTGCTTTTATTATTTTGAGATATGTTCCACTGATTTCTGGTTTATTGACAGTTTTTAGCATAAAGGGCTGTTGTATTTTGTCAAAGGCCTTCTTTGCATTTACTGAGATAATCATGTACTTTTGCTTCTGGTTCTGTTTATGTGATGGATTACATTTACAGATTTGAGTATGTTGAACCAGCCTTGCATCCTAGGGATGAGGCCGACTTGATCCAAGGGTATTCTTAAGACACCAGGGTCATAACCTTGCAATTGATTGCACCATTTGCAACCTGTATAGATGACTTTATTAACTAGCTGGACATAGGGAGATAGTGTTTTAGTCCTTGTATGTGAGCAAAAACCCATTCTAGGAAATGTAGCCCTGAGGCCATCTGTCCTATTAATCCTGCTGGAGAACGTTTACTAATTCTCCAGCAGGGAAAATTACAAATAAGTGGAAATACAAATAAGTGGACTGAATATTGGGGTCTATGTGATCTAGTTGCCTTTGATAAATAGCTTGCTTTATATCCTCAATTTCCCTCTTTGATGTGGGGGTCAAATACCTGGGGAGTCCAGGGCTGCATTGCCCTTTAGGATAGAAAACAGGTTTTGTAATTTATCAGTAGTTATGCCCAAGGTGGGGTGAAACCAGTTAATATTGCCCAGTAATTTTTAATAATCATTTAAGGTGTATAAGTCAAGTATTCAATTTAACCTTCTGAGGTCTTATTGACTAGGAATTTAGTATATATCCAGGATATTTCCAAGGGGAGGACATCTGTACCTTTTCAGGTACTATGATTAAATCTCTTAACTGTCTATTCCTTTTGACGGAAGCATTTAAACTCAAAAGTATTGACTCCATTGGGGCTGTCAGTAAGACATCATCCACGTAGTGGATGATCTTGCAATTAGGAAATTCTTTCTTACTGTGGAGCAAAGCCTGATTTACATGATACTAACACATGGTAGGTGTAAGGTTTGAATGAGGCAACTGAGGCCAGTTATTGAAATAAAGAAATTTAATCGGCTCCTGGGCAAGGTTCTGCGGTTCCACTCAAGGGACTGGAGAAGTCGTGCTGACTTCCTGGGGCGTGGGGTTTTTATGGCTATGAGGAATGAGCAACAGCTGGGTGCTCTGATTGGCTACAGGGGAGTGGGATTGGGACGGGGCGGGCCGCTATTGGTTGGTGGGTTGTTGGGCGGGTTTTCTGGTGCCAGAGCCGGCCAGGGTTGCATCAGCAGAGCCTTCCAGGGGAGCCATGGGGCAGAGCTAGGTGCCGAGTGCAGAGCCTGGTGCTGAATGCAGAGGTGGGTGTGTCCAGCCTTCCGTCGAGGCAACTGGCCTTACAGTAGGAGTGTTCAGCATTCCTTGAGGAATTACTTTCCTATGAAATTGGTGAGCTGGTCTTAATATTATATTATATTATTGATAGCTGGTATTATAAATGCAAATTTTTCTCTGTCCTGTTCTGCAAGGGGAATAGTATAAAAGGAGTCTTTTAAGTCAATAATGACTATAGGCCAATATTGAGGAATCGTCATGGGGGAAGGGAGCCCCTGTTGAAGGGGCCCTGTAGGTTGCAAAGTAGCATCGATAGCATGTAAGTCATGCAAAAGTCTCCATTTAGCAGACTTTTTGGGAATGACGAAAATGGGCGAATTCCAAGGGCTGTTTGATGGTTCTATATGGCAAGCTTTTAATTGTTCCTCAACTAATTCACGAGCTTTTTGTAATTTTTCTCCCTTTAAAGGCCACTGTTCTACCCAAACTGGATCTTGAGAAAGCCATGTCAGTGGTAGGGGAGAAGTTACAACAGTGTCCATTATTAGAAAGGAATCATATGGCAGTTCTCCACTGTGGCCTCAATTAATCCTCTTGTAAATGGCCTAGCAACTCCATTTTCTCTACTCTTTTTCTTATTTCTTTAAAAGTGTCGAAAGTACTGTGTTCATATACCCAATTGCCTTGCTGATCTTGCGTCACCCTAGTCAGGCCAAGTGGTCCCCTTCTAATGCTGCTTGCCTAAGACAGGGTTCTATAACTGTAGTATGCCCCTTGTTTTCTTCCCAATTTATTGGGGGAGGGGACTCAGGGAAAATTTCTGTCTCCTCTGTGGCACCTTTACCTGGTAATGGTGGGGCTGAGGGAGGAGAAGGAGGGGTAAAGTAGATGATGGTTCTTCCTTCTTTCCCTTTTTAGGCTCTTCTGTGTAGAGCAGGGCCAAAGCAGCCCTAACTAAGGCCTATAATGTTAAAAATATTACTGGGACCTGTCGCCCTTGTGCATGATGTCATTTAAGATTTCTCCCCTGGAAAAACCCTGTCTCTACTAAAAATAGAAAATTACCTGGGCGTGGTGGTGCATGCCTATAATCTCAGCTACTTGGGAGGCTGAGGCAGGAGAACTGCTTGAATCCGAGAGGCAGAGGTTGCAGTGAGCTGAGATCCCACCATTGCACTCCAGCCCAGGCAACAAGAGTGAAACTCTGTCTCAAAAAATAAAAATAATTTCTCCCCACTTACTCCCAGAGTTCTAGGTCTAGTATGCCTTCTTCCAGGAACCATGGGTTATGGAAAATTTTAGATCCCTTAACTGAGCCTCCGAAACCAAGGCTCCACTAGCTTTAAGCAGTTGTTTCAATACTTTTATATACTGTTGCTGTTGAGCAGAAAACTGTTGTCCCATGATGAAACCCTAGCTTGAAAACCCCCTCAAACTTGGAAATCCCCAGTGGGCACCAATTACTTACTACACAGTCACTTCACTTTCATTTTCGAGAGTTCCATTGCAATACATTGCAGCCTTCTTCATATGCGGTACCACCTGCTGGGTTTGTCCCGAAGACCCTGGTGGACTGATGGATGAAAGGAGTACTCAGACACAGGTACGCAGTGTAAGAGCAGCTAGGGGGCTGCCCAGCTCTAGTAGCCAGAGAGGCAGCCTTGAGAAGCTGGAGCTGCTTGCTTTTATTCAGTGTAGGCATAAGGCGGAAAGCCTGGAACACAATCTATGGGTAATTAACATTTATTGTTCCCCTTTCAGGGAACCTCACAGAAGCAGATGATCAAAGATCAGTTCCTGGTCAACATAAATAAGCCGTCCTGTTTAAGATAGATTCCCCTGCCAGGCGCGGTGGCTCACGCCTGTAATCACAGCACTTTGGGAGGCCAAGGCGGGTGGATCACAAGGTCAAGAGATGGAGACCATCCTGGTCAACATGGTGAAACCCCGTCTCTACCAAAAATACAAAAAATTAGCTGGGCACGGTGGCACGTGCCTGTAATCCCAGCTACTCAGGAGGCTGAGGCAGGAAAATTGCCTGAACCCAGGAGGCAGAGGTTGCGGTGAGCCGAGATCGCGCCATTGCACTCCAGCCTGGGTAACGAGAGAAACTCCATCTCAAAAAAAAAAAAAAAAACAGATTCCCCTATACTCCCTAGCACTACTCCTTGCCCTCTGCCTCAGGGTTATAGAACAGCTGGCTTCAGCAATTCTCCCCTGAAGCTATGCAGAGCCTTCTGACATTTCAGAAGGCCTGCTCCTTTCCCTATAGTTTCTCCCACCAGTCTGACAGATCTCCTACAAACCTACTTAGCACCTGCGGATTAGAATCCCTAAAGCCACAAGATTACAAGTTATGGTGATTTTACTAAATAATTCAAGATGTAGCTATTTTCACTAAACCAATATCAATATCTTATTTGTTAAAGATTACACAAGCAAAGATCATTCTGTCTTGGGCTGTGTTTAGTTTTGTAACCCCTATGCCAAATTTTGACACCTTATAGTATTTGGCAAGGACGAATATAAAATTGCTTTTTTTTTTTTGAGACAGTTTCACTCTTGTTACCCAGGCTGAAGTGCAATGGCGCGACCTCGGCTCATCGCAACCTCTGCCTCCTGGGTTCAGGCAATTCTCCTGCCTCAGCCTCCTGAGTAGCTGGGATTACAGGCACGTGCCACCATGCCCAGCTAATTTTTTGTATTTTTAGTAGAGATGGTTTCACCATGTTGACCAGGATGGTCTCGATCTCTTGACCTCGTGATTCACCCACCTCGGCCTCCCAAAGTGCTGGCATTACAGGCGTGAGCCACCGCGCCCGGCCCCGAAATTGCTTTATTAATACATGCAAAGAAAAATGTATGCTGGCAATTCTTAAGACATCTTTAACATTTACCATTAATTTTAAAGCTAGGTTATTTAGTAAACATTTTACTTGAGGTACATAAACTTGAAAGAGCATTTGACTAGTTTTTTATTTTGTAGTATATGATTTAAGTGCTTTTATTTCATTTTTAAGACAATTAGTGCTCTTTTATATATTTTTAGTAGTGAAACACGGTGTACATAACACATAAATAGGTAGACATATTAGGCATGTCAATAGAAGTACATTTTACAGATTTACGAAAACGTTTTATTTTCCCTATCTTAGACTTTCAGATTCTTGATAACCTGTTTCATAATCCTGGGCAGTTGTCAGCTAAATAGCCTTAAATTTGCATATTAAAGGAAGCAACTCAGGTGAAAGTCAAGTAGCAAAATTTACATTATAAGGTAGGAGAGAAAACATTTGGTGTGCTAGAGGGAAATTAAAATGGATTTAATTGCCAATTAAGCATAAAATTGTAGAAATTATAAAGACCTTTTAAATATACACACACATAGACATACACACACGCACAAAGATCTTATAGCTTTTACTTCAGAACTTTTAGCCATGAGATAAATACAAATTCACCAGCTTGCAAAAAACTTGTTGGATACAGTGGTTTTTATCTTAATAGAAAAATAACAGCAGATTTAGAGCAGGCAGTAAAGAATACTTAGAGGAAAAGAGGGCTTAGGAACTCTATAATTTGCAGGTTGATCTTAGGGCTCTTTTTCCTTAATGTAAATGTGCACAAAGACGGTATTATTTCCATTTTACCTAAACTTTGGCAAGTAGAGGTGCCATAAAACCTACAGAGTGCTTGAAAGGGGGTCATTCTCCTTGTTTCCTCCTCATTCTTAGATTATTTCTTGCCTTTTTTTTTGTTTTTAGGAGGAACTGAGCTGTGGGCCTAGGATTTTTCAGTGGTAGATTGACATGTGCTGCTTGTGGGCAGGACTCTACAGTATGTCATCACTGAGTCGTTTCCACCCTCTTACATATCTCAGTTTCTGTCTCCAGAGGTTTACCACCTCAGAGAGGACTCAAAAGGCTGGGTGATCAGCCTTATATGCGTTTCCTGGATGAGCCATTTTTAAAATTAATTTTTGTTGGGGATTTCCCTCCAGGGTTGCTGCATGTTGCAAGGGGTCAACCCCCCAGAGACTCTCATGAGGTCCCCAGCCACCCAGGGGCACCTTTCAGCTAGGAAGAGCAAATGCCCTCTCTCTTTGGAGCTGAGAAAACTGTCATTAATGTATGAAAACAACAGTTAATTTCTTCACACAAATGCACACACACGAACCAAATTAAGTTTAAATTCAGGAGAAGACCCTCTAGAACTCATCTCAGAACTAGAATTAGGGTCCTTAAACAACAACTTCAGAATGGAACAAACAACAAAAAAACCCCAACAATATGATCACTGAGCCCTCTAATGGTAAGGAGAAATTAAGACCAACTGGTTGTTAATCTTAATTTTATCCAAGACAAACCCCAATTCAGTTACTTACCAAGGGATGAGTCTCAGGCTGAGGACTGCTTTCTACCATCCTAGAAGCAGGAAAACAAAAACAGAAACAAAAAACCCTCATCTACCTTCATTCCATTCTCATGGAAGCAAAAAAAGTTGCCTTCCTTGTGTTGGAAGTAAGTGAAACTCCAGAAAAAGAGGAGTTGAATAGCAAAATCAACTTTAGATCTTGACCAAATTTGGGAAGATCAGGGACTCTCTGTGTTGGGTCTCCACATGCAAGCGTGGACCCAGAAAGTGGACCTCTCACCCCACCCTGCCACCTTAACTGTTCTTATGATAATATGAATACTCTTTGCCCCACCCTACCATCTTGACTACTCTTATGCCTTACCCCACCTGCCATTGTAACTGAACTTATGGTAATGTATACTCCTTGTCCTTACCCCCACCACTGTAACTGATTTTACTCTGTAACACTCCCACCCTCCAAAAAGTTGCCCCAACCTATAAAACCAATTCCCACCCTTACTCCCTTCACCTGTCCTTTCTCGCGTTCGGCCAGCTTGCACTCAAATGCGAAATAAAATGGTCTTGTTGCCCACACAAAGCCTGTTTGGAAGATCTCTTTATTAAATGCATTTAATATTCGGTACTGTTGGACACAAATAACAACTCTGGAGGGTGTACTCTCAGACCTCAGCAAATTTTCCTGTTTGTTTGAGCCATAAAGTTAGCTCATGCTGGTACCAAGTACAGATAGGAGATTTGTCAAAGGTCAGGGCCATCTCCACTCAGAATCCCTCTATGGTTACCAAAATGTGAACCCTGAAAATTTGAGATAGGTCTCAGTTAATTTACAAAGTTTATTGTGCCAAGGTTGAGGACACGTGCCTGTGACCCAGCCTCAGTGGGTCCTGAAGACTTGTGCCCAAGGTGATCAGGGCACAGCTTGTTTTCCTTCCTTTTAGGGAGACAAGAGCCATCAATCAATATATGTAAGAAGTATGTTGGTTCAGTCCAGAAAGGCGGGGACAACTCAAAGCAGGGAGGGGGCTTCCAGGTCACAGGTAGGTGAGGAACAAATGGTTGCATTATTTTGAGTTTCTGATAAGCCTCTCCAAAAGAGGCAATCAGATATGTGTCTATCTCAGGAGAGGGATGACTGAATAAAATGGGAGGCAGGTTTGCCCTGAGTAGTTCCCAGCTTGACTCTTCCCTTCAGCTTAGTGATTTTGGGGTCCCCAAGATTTCCCACATGTGAAAGGAAAATATCTGTCCTCCCCCAGTCCCACCCAGCCCCAAATCACTAAGCTCAAAGGAAAATTCACGTTGGGAACTGCTCAGGGCACACCTGCCTCACACTTTATTCAAAGTCACCCCTCTGCTCATGATGAACAGGATGATGCTGAACCCGGGTTCTTGTGCTGGGGCCTTAAATGACTTCGATGATGAGAAACTGGGCATGGAGAGCTGGAGGCCCTCATCTCCCTTTCCCACGAAGATGGAAGTGTCCCCATTACTAGTTCCTAGACAGTGCTGAGATTTCTTAGGTTGCAGTGTGCAGCTGGGAGCTGCCGCCTGGTGAGAGGCCTAGGTTTTAGCCTGTGAACCTGGGCCTGGCTATGTAGGCCAGGATAGCTCCGATCTGGCTCTCTGTGGGGCCCGGGCAGCCATACCAGCAAAGGCCATGGGGTCACAAAAACAGAGTGTAGTAGGATCAGGAATAACAGGCATAATGGGGCTCCTCCTCCCTAGGCCTGCGCACTGGGAAGGCACTAGCAGGGCCCTGGTTTTGATGGTGGATTCTTGGGGGAGGGGCCTTGGTAATAGGGGTCTGTGAGGGCTGGGGCAGAATGGGCTATCCTGACCCTTCATAGTCAGGGTCCCAAGTGAGCAATCCTAGAGCCTCCAGGTCTCTGGTCCAGGGGCAGGGGTTTCCACTCAAGGGCCACAGGTACAGAGGGAGCAGAAACAGCCCTCCCATTCGCCTTTCACTTTCCCCCTGCTCCTGAGAGAGTAAGGTTTCTAAGGGTAAGTGGGGCTATCTGAAAGAAAAGGGTGATTCTGGCTGGAGCTCGGTGCCCTGCATGGTCCTGTGCTTGACTTTGATGCAAGGCAGAGACTGGGCTCTGAAGAGGTAGGCTGGGGGTCGACGTCGTCATGGATGTTGGTCTCTCTTCCGGCCGTGGCCCACGTACAACCCCTGTTCCCTTACAGTCAGGACCTTGTGGAACTTCCCAAGATGGGTCCTTGGGGCCTGGCCGCGATTGCCCTCCCACTGCCTTTGGCGAGGGGAGGCGTGCCAGTCGAGACCAAAGTGAATGGGATGATGCCACTGGAGGGCGCGCGAGGCGGCGGGACACGGTGCTGTGCTGCCGCTGCTGCAGGCTTCAGGCCTCTTCTGCCTTGTACAGCGGTCAGGTCAGCAGAGGCGGAGGCAGGGGCTGTGGAGGGCCGAGGAGGTTAAGTCGTGAAGCCACGTTCCTCCTGCAGCTCTTAACCCAGGCGAGGTGGCTAGCCGAGCAGCTCCCATTGCTTCGAAATGTGAGCCTCTTCCCTTCCCCTATCTAGCCCGTCCCAGTGGGTGCCAGGAGAGACCCCGGACACCCAAGTGTCCCGCCCCCTCTAGGCTCCCTCCCCTTTCTCTTCGAGCGGAGGCAGCCCCGGAAACTCCCGCCTTTCTGGACCCGCCCCCTCCAAGGTCCCTCCCCTTTCCCGCGGAGGCGGTCGGAGGCACTGGTCTTTCTGGACCCGCCTGTTCCCCACCCCACTCCGTCCTCCTCTGGCCTCGGCTCGGTTCCAAGCTCCCTTCACTCTAAGCGGCCCGGAAGCTCCCGCCTTTCTGGGCATGCCCCTGCCTCCCCACACAGATCTCCGACACTCTTCCGGCTTGTGAGGGCTTGACATTTTACCAGAGGTGGCCCAAAAAATCTTGCAGAGATGGTGACTTTAAAAAAATTCTTTTTCAGCTAGATGTGGTGGCTCAGCCCTGTAATCCCTTTTCCTTGGGAGGACGAGGAGGGCAGATCACTTGAGGTCAGGAGTTCGAGATCAGCCTGGCCAACATGGTGAAACTCCATCTCTACAAAAATTAGCCGGGCGTGCTGGCGCAGGCCTGTGGTTCCAGCTACTCGGGAGGCTGAGGTGGGAGGATCGCCTGAGCTGGGGGAGGTTGAGGCTGCAGTGAGTGGTGATTGCGCGACTGCACTCCAGTCTGGGCGACAGAGCAAGACTGCCTTAAAAATAAAAAATTATTTTAATAAAATACACATATTTACCATATATACTTTTTTTTTTTTTTTTAACGGAGTCTGGCTTTCTTACCCAGGCCAGAGTGCAGTGGCACTCCACCTGGGTTCAAGTGATTCTTGTGTCTCAGCCACCCAACCATCTGGGATTACAGGCGTCTGCTACCATGCCCAACTAATTTTTTTGTATTTTTAGTAGAGACGGGGGTTTCTGCTATGTTGACCAGGCTGCTCTGGAACTCCTGGCCTCAGGTGATCTGCCCACCTTAGCCTCCCAAAGTGCTGGGATTACAGGCTGAGCCATCACGCCCAGCCCTCCCATTTTTTTTAATGACCACATAATACCTTGTTGCCTGAATGTCTTATGTTAATTTAACCAACTCCCTATTGATGAACATTGTAGCTGTTTATAAAATGCTGTAGTAAACATCCACTCTGTAGGTCTTTGTGCACATGTGGAGTATATTTGTAGGCTGACTTCTTGGAAGTAGAATTGTTGGGGTAAAAGCTGTGTGTGTTTATGATTTTACCTATTTACACTCCCACTGATGACTTGTTTAGCCAAATTTATTCAAATTGTCTACACTCGATTTCTCCACCACTTTACCTCCTACTCCACAACTCATTCTAACTTGGCTTCTATCACTCCACCTTCAAAGGCTCTAAGGACACCAATGATCTTCATGTTGTCCAATGGACAATTTTCAGATCTCATTTCACTGTTTCTCAAATAGACTTTATACAGTTGACAGTCCTCTCCTTTTTGAAACATTCTTGTCCCAGCTTCTTGCCATACTCGCCTGGTTTCCCTCTAGCCATGTTGTCTTTCCTCTGCCCACTCTGAAATGTTGGTGCGGCTCAGGGCTCTGGTTACCATTTACATGCAGTTGGTCCACACAGTGAAGTCACCCCTTCCTAACTTTTGTTCAACTGCTTATTTGTCATCTTGAGTTGAATGTCCCACAGGGACCTCAAGTCAATTGTATCCAACATTATCCTCCCCCTTCTCATGCTTGCATCTCAGTAGCTGTTCCACTGCTCTCCAGTGGTCCTACCCAGAAACCTGCATGTCATTTTTGAACCTCCGTATTCCTCAATCCGTACCTCTAATCAATCACTATGGCCCTACCCATTCTATTTCCATAATCTCTTCCCCCCAACTTTTTTTTTTCTTTTGAGACAGGATCTCGCTCTCACCCAGGCTGGAGTGCAGTGGTGCAATCACGCCTCACTGCAACCTCAACCTCTGGCTGTAAGTGATCCTTCTGCCTTAGCCTCCTACAAAGCTGGGACCACAAGCACACACTACCATGCCTGGATAATTTTCCATTATTTCTTAACAATGGTCACTTTTCTTATCCTCCCCTTGTGTCCACCACCAGCTGCACCACCTGAACACTGCATTGATATTCTAATTGCCTTCCTGGCTTCCCTTCCCTGGCTTTAGGCTTGCTACTCTGTGTTTTTTTTTTTTGTTACAGAGTCTCACTTTGTCCCCCAGGCTGGAGTGCCCTGGCATGATCTCAGCTCCCTGCAGCCTTGATCTCCCAGGTTGAAGTGATAGGCTTGCTACTCTTTAAACCAGTCTCCACCTTGCAGCCAGAGTTAACTTTGAGAAATGCAGATCTAATTATGTTACCGTCCTGCTTTTTAAAACCTTTCAATAAGTTCTGATTGCTTTTAGGGTAAAGACAGAAACCTTTTCCGTGGCTGATTAGGCTCAGACAAACTCTCCAGCCTTTTCTTGGTTACTGCTGTCCCCTTTCCCATGCTGTAATTTGTTTCTTGAAAGTTTTCTGTTCCTTTGCACTCAGGGCTTTTGTCTTTGCTGTTCTCTCCATCCTGGAATGCTCTTTCTTTCCCTCCCACCTTAACCTGGCTAAAACCTTCTCAATCACCAAGTCTCAGCATAAATATCACTTGCCTGCAGATGCCTTCCAAGACCCTAGAGACTCATGCT